CAATGGACTCGGGATGGGTGATTTTTTTCAAGAGAACTAGAATGGAACCCATCTGATGGGCCTGAGCCAGCGTGATCCATGGCTGGGAGAGAAGGAGCCGTCTGGAAGGTACAGGGTCTTAGGGGAAAAGAAGACCCATCCTCCTGGGCTCCCTCCTGAGTCGTCAATGAGCATTTATTGACCGTGTCTGACCAGACACTTGTGCTAGGGCCTAAAGGTGCAGAGAGATGAAGCCTAGGGCTGGAAGGGCACATGGGGATACTAACGATCTTATTGCCAAGGACTCTGAGGGGTGCCCACACCTGCCTGAGGGTAACGGAGGGCCCATGAGCCTCTTTCACACGCTTTGCCAAAGAGAAGCATCGCATTCCAGACCCGTGACATCACATCTTTCATGCCGCTATTCTTGACAAGCGCTATTATCTTTACTTGGAGAGCCTTTCGACCTGACAGGTCCTCTAGCAACCCCCTACGCACCTGTCAGCACACAACGTGTGCTGCTCTCCCTCTGGAGTGTCCCCTGACTTCTCCAAGCGGAAACGAGCTCTTATTCTTCTGGGTGACTATGGTCCTACTGGGCTGATACTAAACACGTCTGACAACTGGAACAAGTAGGCAACAACCCATTGGAATGACACAGCCACCGGCGAGCAGAGCCACATCAGCCCCGGGACCGTGGGTACTTCCACAGACCAGCTGCCCCGTGCGGGCGAATTAATAATGGACAGGCATGTCTCTCCACTAAACACGAGCGTTCAGAGCTCACTGAAGAATTCCAGAAGAGCAGCTGCAGCGAGGGGCCTCCCTCTGCCCCGACTACCCACACCCGAACCCTAACAACCCTCCACATCCCCTCCTCACTCCGTCATCCCCTATGACGGCCAAGCACCAAGTCCCGCACGCTGGTCTCCCTGGCCACAGCCATGACTCCAGCCCAGGACGCCCCATCTCTCACCGGAGTTACTGCCATAATCTCCTGCAACTCAGCCTCCCTGCCACCCCTCCGGCTCCTCTCTGTGGCCAGAGGGACCTTTCTAAAGAGCAAGTCAATCATGACCCTTCCTTACCTTAAAAAGCCACTGAATGGTTCCCCACTGTTCTTAAGATAAAGTCAAAATCCCAGGCTCTAAGAAAGGTTGGAGGAAAGAGGCGGCATTGCAGTGGCTGCTGATAGATGCAGAGATGGAAGCTAAGGGCCGCTCAGGCCGAGAGACAGACAGCAAAGACACAGTGCAGAGAGCTCTGAAGGGAATGGAGCAAAAAACGAGCAGTGATTGTGGGAACTGCAAACAGATTGTGCCACTGTGGCCCCTCTTCCACCAGCAAGTCAGACATTGCTCATCACGGCGCTCTGTCCACTGAGCCCACACTCACTATCAGATCCCTCTCGAGACAGGATTCCTTGAAAACCACCCCCCACCCCGGGAAGAATGTGAAACCAGTTTCCTGTCTCCAGGCAAGGGTTCCAGGTGGCGGAGGGGGACCTACAGGAGAGGAGCCTAGAAGGACAGCCAGGTGCTGGGTCCCGGCCAGACATGGAAGATACAACCCAGAAAACCCCACACGTTCCGGCTGTTTCCCAACCACTGCTCAAGCCCCGCCAGGGAATTCTTCAGGGCTCTGACTGTAACTGTCATGCTGTTTTGTTAGAAATACCTCCACTTGCTTTTGCAACACTAGCTCCTCCGAGGCGAGCTGCCTGAGAAGTCGCTGCAATGGTGAAATCTTGTTCTGATAAACAGGTTTCCAGAGGCAGAAAATTGGCCAGATTAGATTCCAAAGTGCTTGCGCTGAGAGTCAACAGGCTGGCAGCACACGGACTTGACAAATGAAAGGGTGTGATGCAGGGACGTAAATACCACATCTGTCAAACACAGTTGGCCCTGCCAGCCACAGGGCTCAGGGCTCATGCACAGGTGGCCCTGCAGCTACAGGGCTCTGGGCTTAGGGTTCATGCAGAGGTGGCCCTGCAGTCACAGGGCTCATGCACAGGTGGCCCTGCAGCCACAGGGCTCATGCACAGGTGGCCCTGCAGCTTGGCCAGATTAGATTCCAAAGTGCTTGCGCTGAGAGTCAACAGGCTGGCAGCACACGGACTTGACAAATGAAAGGGTGTGATGCAGGGACGTAAATAGCTCAGGGCTCATGCACAGGTGGCCCTGCCAGCCACAGGGCTCAGGGCTCATACACAGGTGGCCCTGCCAGCCACAGGGCTCAGGGCTCCTGCACAGGTGGCCCTCCAGCAAGGGCTCAGAGCTCTGCAGGCTGACCAGGGATCCCCAGGGCCTGGCGACTGACAACATAGAGGACCATGCTTTGAGGGCTTCTGAGTACCTCTATTATGCATGCAGGGGGCACAGATCCTTGCACTTTAGGGAAATGACAATATCGTCAAAATCAAAAGCATCAGGAGAAATCAAGCCAATGAGAGGTTAAATCCCATTGATTCTGTCCTCAAAAATCTTCCTCAAACCCACCCAGTGTGCCTCACCCAGATGGTACCAGCCAATCCAAGCTGCCAGTGGTTCCCAACACAGGGCAATTTTGCTCCCCAGGGGACAGAGGGCAGAATCTGGAGACTCTGGGGTTCTGGCGTCTAGTGGGTTGAGTCCAGGAATGCTGCCGCCCATCTACAATGCATGGGCAGCCCCTCGCAGCAAAGAATCGCCATCCCAGAATGCCAATGAGGCTGGGGCTGAGAAATCCCAGCTTACACCCACCTCCCAGCGTTCACTTCTCAGGGCCCCAGTCCCTTCTCCTCGCAGCAGAGGGAGATTTTAACCTGCTGCTGATGGCTTCTCGGTGCCCTCACAATACATCTGGAGCTCCTGCCACGGTTGGCAAGGCCCCGTGGGATCCAGCCCGGCCTCCCTCTGAACCTCATTCCCAACCACTTCCTGGAACACAAATGTCCTTCCTGCAGGGAGGCCTCCGCCCATGCTGCTCTTGGACCTCGGTTCTTCCACCCCCTGCCCCCTTCCCCAGTGTTCGAGGCTGAATTGCTTCCTCCCCAAATCCATATGTTGAAGCCCTGACCCCCAGTCCCTCGGAATATGACTCAATTCAGAGACAGGGCCTTTGAAGAGGTGGTTAAGGTAAAATGAGGCCGTGAGGGCAGGCCCTCACCCAATCTGACCGGCGTCTTTCTACAAAGAGGAGATTAGGACACGGACGGCCCTGGGGAATGACCATGTGAGGACGCGGGGAGAAGACGGCCAGCTGCAAGCCGAGGACACAGGCCTCCAAGGAACCCAACTCTGCCCACTTTGATCTCAGACTTCTGCCTTCCAGGATGGGGAGAAGCTACATTTCTAGCATGTAAACCAGGGGTGGAGAACCTTTTTTCTGCCAAGTGCCATGTGGATATTGATAACATCATTCGCAGGCCATACACAATTATCAACTTAAAAATGAGCCTGACCCCTAATGCCTTGGCAGGGCCAGACCAAATGGTTTTGCAGGCCTTACACAGCCCTCGGGGCCGGACGTTCCCCACCCCTGAATGATAAACCACCCACTCCGGGGTACTTTGTTATGGCAGCCCTAGCAAACTAATACATTTGACTAATGTCACTCAGTCTTTCGACAACAGCCTTATGTCACTCATTCTGAGACTGTGTTGACCCAGTGGAAAGCTGGTCCCCACTTTCCAGTCGGGTATTGTCCCCCGTTTTCCTTTATCTCAGCCTGCGCTGACTGATGTGTCTGTACCATCTCCCCATGGAATGGCACACCCAGGAAGGCATGGGCCACCGCCTCGTCCAGCTAAACATCCTTCACATCTAGTGCTCGGTGGATCTTCAAAGAATATGTGTGGCCGCTCCAAGAAGAAAACCAAGCACAGTTACTGACTCACCCCCACCCCCAGACTCCTCCTTGGAACGTTCTAGCCTCATCCCTCATCGCTCCCGAAGGTGAGTGGGATCTGTACACGTATAGTTAAAAATAAGGCACATGAGGTGTCTGGATCTTGCAAGTAAATTACCACCCTGTCTGCTTTAAAAGAGGTGAGAAATCTTTTCACCCCGACAGCAGGACTTTCTAGTGGCTGAAATATTTATCCCATCTCAGTGTCTGGGGACACATTCAGAATCCAAAAAGACAAGCATTAGCACGAAGTAGGCTAGCGGGGGTTTCTCCTCCTCCCTTTCCTTTTTTTCATTAAGCTGAAAAATGAAAAAGAGTTGCCCATGTTCACTGCAGCACATCACTTACTTAAAATAACTATACCTTCTCTCCAAGAATGACAAAAAAAAAGTCCCCAGCCCTCCCCCACTGGGCAGAGGCAAAGAGCCCACTGCAGCAGCGTCTTCCAAAATTTCTGGCACCCACCAATTTATACCTGATGATGAGGGGGCCAACCTGGGGCAACTGTGAATACTCAGACAGCTGCTGCGTTCCACCCACTCTCCTGGAACGAGCGGTTAGCATGGTCGACTTTCCCAGCTGAGAAATGGGAATTCCCCGGGAGCAGCTGCAGTCCGCCCCGTTCTCTGCTCTCCCCTGCTCATCGGCCGCCCCTCAGGGCCACCCCTTGTCATGACGCCCTAGAGAACTGACATCTGCAAACCTTCCACGGGCCCCGAGTTCAGATTTCTGCCCAGTCGCCTGTTTTGATCCTCTGCTTCCTGACAATCCGGTCTGCAGGCTCCATGAACAACAAAGCAAGACACAGACACATATGCGCCGACACACATACAGCCTAGCACTCCATTTAGCAGATCTCAAAAAATCTCTTCCCTAAAACCTCCGGAGAATGAACACACCTCTTCCCACTGCCTGGTGCCAACAAACACAGTGTCAGGAGGCCACTGAAAACAGCCATCTGTGTTCTCCTTGACTCACTTCTCCACACACAACACACACGCCCCGCGCACGGGCACAGGGAAAGCACCCAGGGGGCTGGTCGGCAACCGTGTGTTTGCAAACATCCCTGGGAAACCCCCGAAGGTCCCTTCAACTCCAGATGGCTCGGCACGGTGGCATCCGTGTCGGACGGAGGGAGAGACATCTGTCCCCAGCATATCCCAGAGCCATTTGGTTCTCATCAAACAGACTGCTTCCTGCCGGCGTCCTGCTATGCGAAGCGCTCGCCGCCACCAAGAAGGGAGCAGTCACGTGTGCATGTCTGAGCCCGAAGTGAGGATGTGCTTCTGGCTCCAAGTACCTGAGCAGAGCCAGGACTCCAGCTCTGTCTAGACTGCACACCGCCCTGCCTGTGAGCTCCTTCCAGCAGCCCCAGCCTCCCCTCACCCATCTGTTCAAGGAGGAGATTGGTGAGAAGGTATAACATGGCTCGTGGGTTCAGCCCAGGACTGGTGACCCTGGGCATTGAAAGATTTCATCTTGACATCGACCGTGAAGGACGATCGTGTGCAATGTTACTGCAGGGACATGTATGGGTGGTGTGGGTCACCTGGACAGTGAGTGGGCCCAGCTGTCCGCCCAGCATCTGCACTTCACACAGCTCTCTCCTTTGCTTCTCCCATGCGGTGATCAAATGATAAATGCTCACAAAATGATAAATGCTCTGTTTCCTTCTGAAAACGAGTCAGCAAAGGAAGCCAATGGCTAGTATTAATGAGAAAAGCACAGAGAAAGTGAAAAGGTCTGAAAAGGACAGTTCTTTACCAGGAAAAAGCTCCATAAATTATCTCTGTCCTGTATTTACAGCCTCATTACGGGCCCGAAGCTGTTACTCGCATTGTTTAGTCATGCTTCGTCGCGTTTCACGAGGAAAATTATGTCGGAGCAGCATTAACGCTGTGGGGATCTGCAGGGCCATGGTCCGCGGCTCAGGGGCTGGAGAGCCACTGGGGAGGATGCTGAGCCTCAAAGGGGAGCACTGAGCCCCACCCACCCTTCTGCTCCCTTCTCACAGCCTTTGAGAAACCAATCATTATGGACTTTCCACTAGGGAAGATCTAACATCTGCTGAAGCTCTTAACACATGGCAGGAGTTTAACATCAATTCTCTTCATATTCCTTCACAGCTGCGCTATGAACTAGGCACCATGCCCATTGTGCAAATGAGGAAACAGTCTGAAGAAGTAAGAGGACACACTGAAGACATGATATAGGTACTCATATAAAGAGGAGAGAAAACAATATTGCACAACATTTTTAGTGATGAAATTCAAAATATAATCATTGAGGACAATTTCCTGTAATACAGGTCTACTAAGGAAAAGAATGAAATCCTTTGTAAGGGGGGACGGGACAGGTAACATTTCACTTGATGGAAGTCCAAGTTAGTGCTCCCTATCATCAAACTCTATTGTAAAGTTTGCCTTTTTGTTAACCATTTAAAAGTGTTTAAAGTATTCTTAGCTTGGGGCCACAGGCCATAGTTTCCCGACTCCTGGGCTAGAAGAGAGCAGGTCCATCTGAAATAACAAGGTGCCGATCCAAAGGCACTTCCTCTCTGTCCTACCACACCCACCACACTCTGAAACGATCCCTGGGGCTCCGTGGCTGTTCCCCCACCACGGAGACAGGGACCTTGGCCGTTCCGTTCTCCGCTGTGTCCTCAACAACCAGCAACTGCCAGGCCCCCAGCACACACACAGTGAATGCTTGCTGACTGAATGAGGTGGGAACAGAACCTGATGGCTCCTGAGAGTGTGGCCCCTCCAGCACGACACTCTCAAGTTCTGTGAATGGATCTAAACGCTGCCTGAATCCATTTCCACAATGAATGGGGCAGTGGGCCTGGGTCTGCAGAGCACTCCTGAGCTCGTGGGAGGGAAGAACAGAAGAGAAGAAGTCTGGATGAACGTTTCTGAGTTCTCTTCTTCCCACACACCCTGTCCTCACCAAGGCCAGCTGCACGTCAGGCCCGGGTGGGAGCCTGGAGCAGAAGCTGTCCCCGGCGTGTTCTCTCTTCAGCTTCACTCAGCAGCAGCAGCAGCAGGAAGTGAGAATCAGGCCCTGAGGCTTGCTGACGAGGACAACCTTATGATGAATTTCATCAGGCTTGCAGATAAGCCAGGCTCAAGAGAGAGCCAATCAGCCCTGCACTTCAGCGCCTCTCAGAGACAGCCACCGGGTCAAGAAGACTCTGCTCCCACCCAAGTTCAGCCCAGCCCTGTCTGCCCAGGGACGGCTGCCACAATTCTCACAGTCACTCACTGCAAACCATTCTCTGCCTGCACTCTGCTGCACAGAGACACCCTCACAGGGCAAGTATGAAAAATACCAAAGCAAATCAAAGAATGAGGACAAAAGAACTAAATGAGCTTCATTTAGGCCCCAAAGCATATCTTCCTGAGCTCAGGGCTAAGGATTTCTAGAATAAGGCTCAAAAAAGCACAGGCCATAAAGACTGATAAATACAACCCCCTGCATTGAAATGTAAAACTCCCAGTCATCAAAAGACACTACAAAATTCAAAGATAAGCCACTAGCTAGAAGATGGTATCTGCTACATATAGAACCCACAAAGAGTGATACCTAGCGTTTTCTTTCTTTCTGATTTTGTTTGTTTGATTGTTTCTAAGAAGAGAGAGAGAGAGAGAAAAGAGAGAAACATCAAGATAAGAGCATAACATTGACTGGCTGCCTCCTACACGACGCTCACTGGGGATCAAGGCCACAACCGGGCCTGTTCCCTGACCAGGAATCGAACCAGCAACCTTTGGGTGCATGGGATGATGCCCAAGCAACTGAACCACACTGGCCAGGGCTCTAGGATTTTCTCACAAGACTAGGCAAGAAAACACAGCCAACCCAGTGGAAAACTGGACAGAGTGCATGAGCAGGTATTCTCACTGAAGAGCAAACTC